GAGGCGGCGGGAGCCGCATGGGGAGCTAGCGAGGCCAGCCTCTCACTAGACCACGGGAGCCGTGTGGGGAGCTAGAGAGGACGGCCTCTCACTAGACCACGGGAGCCGCATGGGGAGCTAGAGAGGACGGCCTCTCACTAACCCAGTGTCCCGTTTTGTCTAGATTCCATCTAGATTGCCCCCTTCTGGCCCTAGTAGCTCAACAAGAACACTGTGGAAAGTGTGTGCGTGGGCGTGTTTACAGCCTTGTGTGCATGGACTGGCCACGCCCAGCAGAGTGCAGTGGGCCACTGAGGTCCAGGAGCCTGACATGTCTGTGGGGACAGTGGGGGCGTGGGCAGAAGGCTGTGGGCCCTCTATGCGTTCTTTACGACGCACAGCACAAAGCCGCGGGCCGACGCCCAGCCTGCGGCTCCCAGACGGAAGGCCAGTGCTCAGGACCGCTTCTCAGCTCTCCAAAACGGGCTCAGACAGGGTTTAGAGCGTGATGTCAAATGGCGGAAACGGCGTGGCACTGGGCGGCCCGAGAAGCAGACCTGGCCCACGATTGCCCCGGGGTTGCTGAGGACCCGGGTCCGTGTGGGCCCTGCTGGCCCAGAGCCACAGTGCCACCACGCTCTTTCCACGGCCAGCCCCTGGACTGTCATGGATACTCCACGCGTGCCCTCGAGATGACAGATGTTGCGATGTGGATCGTTTGAAACCACCGGAAGTAAACTCCTTTCATAATGCACGGTTGACTGCCACGTGGCGTCTTCAGAAGGTTCGTGGAAAATGCACATCAGAGAGACCTATGGTTTTCAATACCCTAACCCCATGATTCCGCAAGCTTTCTGAAACCCCTGCACGGTGGTCTCCGGTGAACCCGACTGCAGTCCCTGCTCCGGGCCATGCTGTCGCAGCACACGGCATGCACTCACTGGAGGACACGAGGTGGCCCTTCCGGCTCCCTCCCACGTTCTGGTCAGAAATGGTGACCGCGGGCTCCCTTGCTGCGGCCTCACGGCTGAACCCCGGAACAGTGGGGCATGGAGGGAGTGACCAGAGTCATGTCTGAGTGTGGGGTCGCCGCAGACCGTCCGTGTCTCACGGGGGCTCGGACAGCAAGGGAGGCAGGAGGTGCGTGGGCGGAAATGTCGCCGCTGCTCCCACGTCCTGTGCCTCTCTGTGTCCTCAGAGCCTGCTCGGCCACACGCACATGTGAGCACAGCCCGGCCGGGCGGCGGCTCTCGAGGAGGCTTTTGGCCCCACTGTTCCAGGGACCTGGCATGAAATAAGAATGACAATAATCGGATTTCTTCCTCAAATTCTCAGCAAGTTACTCTGGGTCTTGTGAAACTGAAGGGAGTGGGCTGAGCTCCAGCTCTGGGGAGCGGGCTACGGCTTTGGGGCCCCTCGGAGCAGGTGCTACAACGAGGGGGGTTCACAGCACTGCGGCCAGCAGGGGGGTGGGGTGCGAGAACCGCTTTCTGGGGCCCTGGGACGTTGCCGCCTTGCAGGGGTCTCGGCCCTCCCAGGAGCCTCCAGGCGGTGGAAAGCGCTGTGACTATCCAGTCAGACGCCACTCGCCACTCGCCTCCAGGAAGCCTGCGTCCTTAGAAACACGCTGGAACGCTCTTGGCGTGGCCTTCTGAGGGCTGGATGTCCTGCTGGACGCTCACCACAAGCAAGTCACGGTGACCGAATGGGCAAGCGGGGAAGCTGGCTGAGGGGGCTGCGACGCCACGTCCGAGAGCCGCGCTGCGCCATGCGGGGTGGCCTGAGCCTGACTGCGTGGGCGCGCCCTGCTCGAGAAATGCCAGGGCCGCGAGGAAGGGACGACCTCTGCCCCCGCTGGCGGTGGCACGACCCACAGCAGGGACACGCTGCCAGCGAGGGGAGCCCCTCAGAGGCTCTGGGCCTCTGCCAGCTGCACCCGGCCACCTCGGCCACGGGGAGAGGGGCGGAGGGGGAGAGGACAGCCCGGCTCTGCGGCATGAGACAAGCTCTCGCCCAGCAGGACCTGGATCCCCCCGAAGAGGAGACAGATAGCGGTGGCCACACAGAACAGGCCGTGTTCCACATGGCGTGGAAGTTCCTAATCACGGAGCGGCTGAGGGCCTGACGGCGGAGAGGAGCCCAAGGGCCAGACCCCAGCAGGGTCCAGGGAAGTGCCTACGGGAGCCTACCGAGCATTCGAGGGCTCCTGAGAGGGAGCACCGTGAGCCCGGCACTCGGGAGGGCAGACGGGGTGGCAGAAAGAATGAAGCGAGGAAGAAGAGACTGTCTGTACGGCGATGGCCAAGGTCTAGCCCCCCATCCAACACTTCCCGAGGTCGGCCAGCGCCGAGGTCTAAGGCCAGACAGCGGACCAAAGCTGAGTTTACATAATCAGTGTTGAGAGTCACATTTGAATCTGGGTGGAGTAGCTTAAGCTTCCCAAAGAAATGACCATCAAAGGACAAAAACAAAGTTTGTAATTTTGGAAATGATTCAGCAGAAAAGTTATTGCTTACAAAATTCATATTATAATATTTAATTTTAATATATTAGCTGAAAACATTCCAGGTTCCTATTCAAAAGGCCCTCGACTATATAATTTTCTCTAATGATAAGCTTCAAGGAGTCAATATATAAAAAACTAATTGAAAAGGAACAAGATAGATGACGGCATTTCAGTCTGAGGGTACCCGAGCAGGGGTGGGTGGGCGGCGTCACAGAGCTGGCATGCTGTCCGGAGAGGGCGGCCCCGTCGCGGGCACTGGGCGAGAAGCCGGGCGATGGCCGAGGGGAAGCTGAGACCTGGCTGCAGGGCGGGAGCCACACACAGCTACGCCAGATCCGCCTCCCTCCCTGGTTGGCCTGAGCACCCTGGGCACCTCTGGCTGGGGACGGGGCTCACAGGGTGCCCAGGCCCTGGCCCTGGCCCTAGCCCTGTCCTGAGAACCCCTCACTCTCCATCTCTCTCCTCCTTCCCTCACGGGGTTAAAGGACTTGAAAGGTGCAAGGAAGGGAGCCGCGTCATTCTGAATCCATGGCGGAACTCAGTAGGATTCTGCTTCCTAATAAGAGGCCTGCGGGGCCAGCCTGCAGAGCAGTGGTCAGGGTGGCTGGGTCCCAGGGGCCAAGTACGCGGTTCGAGTCCTGGACGCGGCAGCCTCAGAAGCATGCCTGGCGTGCGTGTTGTGACCCAAACCCCAAAAGGACAAGCAGAAGAGAAGGAACTGCAGTGTGGCCACCCCCACGGGGATGCTTCCTACTCTCACTTTTGCATTCTCTCTCCAGCAAGCGCACACACCCTCTAGCAAAATTTTTAAATAATAATAATAATAATGGGGATAAAAGGCCTATGTAGTCCTCAGAGCTGAAGGAAAACGAAAAGTCTACAGCGAATAAACCAGGTTTCTGTTTTTGAGGAAGGATGTGGACTGAAACTCCCAGGGCAGTGGTCAGAGATGGACGAGTCGTGCGGGAGGAAGCAGGGTTGGTGCAGGGCCGTAGGTGGGTCTCCGGGGTCCCCTCCGTCCTTGAATCACCACTCTCCGAATCTGAGCTCACGGTCCGCGTCTCCGGCTGCCCCTGCCCCGTCAGCCCCACGGAGGGACCGTGCAGATTGGATGCGGTCACGCCAGGTCCAGGGCTCATGCAGGAGGCGTTTCTTAGCATGGAGTCGAAGCCGTTATATGCCCTTTGGACAAGGACCGCGAAGAGTGAGAAAATCAGG